TTTTAATTATTAATCAAAATATTTCAGTTGAAATTTTATCCTTGTGGTATCGAAAATGGTATCGAGTATCGAATATTTTCCTTAGTATCGGTATCGAGTTGAAAAGTTTAGTATCGTGACAACCCTAGTTAAAACTAACATGTTTTCTTATTGTATAGACAGAATCAGACTGCAGAGCTTCGACATATCTTGAAATTTAGTTTCTGGCATCATTGTATTGATAAAGAGGTTCATAAATCTTTTTAAACCGAGCACAGAGAGAAGTAGAGAGAGCTGCAGATTTAAAGGGGAAACAGATTTACTGGGATATGCAACATGCAATATATCTCCAGGTTTAACAGAAAGTTTACAAGAAAAACATTCTATGCTACCTTTAATATGCAGCATATCCGTATTTATTCTGGATGGATGGAATTGAAATTGTACTTCTAGGGATGCATGATATATTGATTTTGGCATCAGAATCGGCTGTTGTCCTTTATTTTTCTATGTTTTGGGGCCCTATATATATAATGCACTAAAAGGCATCTCTCTAACATCTATAATTATAAATATTAGTGTAATATGGTTCTTTTGTGTTCTCAACAATAGGAAGGAAAGTATTCAATAAATATATGCTTGAGCTCATTTTTGGAAAATACAAAAACTTAGTGTTTGGGTGGAGTAACTGTAGCTCCATCAGCCTCCACCCTATGAGTTTCCATCAACTTTCATAACAAAGTTACAGCCTTGGTGCCAGATATTAATCTGCGCTAAAATATCAAGGTGAAAATCATCACAGCTTAAGTAGTATAGACCCAGCTCCCAGAGTGGTTTTCTATTCTATTATAAATAATAGGGGCAACATTTCAAATTGTTTTCACTTCAGTCAAAGAAAAAAGTACAATGCTGTAAAATTACTCCTGAAAGTAATTTTATTTTTTCCAAAGGTCACTCTGCATTTCACCCATTTTAAGCAGGTCCTAAGGAGTATGAGACACGTCGTTATGTTTTTGCTGCAAAATTGCACTCTTAAAACATTATTTAAAATGATTTGGAACCACAACCCCCGTCATTTCTTTCATAATTCATGCGCTACGATCAGGTCATGTCACTGACTGGATCCTTATTTACATGCAGAGACAGACGGACGAGTTATTATGGCTGCCACTGCTGCTAACAAGCTAAAAACAAACAACCTGCCCATTAAAGCCGAGCGCAGCTGAAAGGGCCTTCTTGGATCGAGACTGCCGAAGCCATCTGATTGGCTCTAAAAAGGTCTGATTTCGATAGCGAGACCAGAGAAGCCCCCTGATTTGACGAGCCAATCCGGCAGTTTGATTGGTTCATATCGAGACAGGGCACTCTGATTGGTTGTCATATTGAAACTTTGAGACTGAGAACAATGGTACTTTGAGAATAGATTAACAGCTATATATTTTTTTTAATCGCCCAGTAAGAGTCTGGCGTTGACGTAACACGTAAACGGCAATAACGGCCCACCACTAATTAAAAATTACTTTTTACCAGCTTATCACGACACATATAGCAGACCCGCTCTCGGCAGTTGAACACAGGAGCAGCAGAAGCATCAGAAGCATCTGGACAGACTTTACTGGATGTAATCTGTGATGCTCCTGAAGCACGTCTGACCTCCATGTGTTCAAGCATCAAAACTGAAGAAGCCGACGCTTCTTTGCTGCTGAAATCGCGTTCGGTGTGAACTTAGCATTAGTTCACAGTTAGCGTCGTCCACTTCATAAAAGCAAATAGTCTGACAGTATGTCGGAGCGACATACCCTGTTTGTTAATAATAGTTTTACATCTCTGTTTATTGGAAATCATTAGTGTTTCCCATCTTTTAATAATCTTTTTATATTTAATAACAAAATGGGTTCCTGTGTTGTTATCTGCTGTTTGTTTTTTCAGTCATTATTTAATACAGCTGGCAGAATAACAAGTTAAAATAGAATTACGATCTTTTTATTTCAGCAGACGTAGCTCTATTAATAGAAAAGAAATCAACTAATAGTTAGTTGATCATGAAGATCAATCAGAGTTAGAATAATCTATTAATCAATAACTTGCATCCCAAGTATTATAGATCCTTTGTAGTATTTTAGTATGGAAGATAAACTGTCTCATTGGAATCTGCCTTTTTTTTTAACACCGAATTTTAAACACTGAATTTTTTTAGCACCTAAATTTTTTTTAGCACCACTGAATTTATTACAAATTGAAATTAGATTACACTGAATTTTTAATTGGTAGAAATTCAGCTGCAAAAAATGTGCCTGCAAATGTGTTGACCTTTTGGTGAACTCAAGCCAAAGCAATCTACACTCGATGCAAGCGAGCAGCTT